GTCACTGATAGTGAGATGGGCAGTGTATAAATTTGATTTATAAATAAAAATAAATAATAGAAAAAGGTGTTGAGGACAGAAGCTCTCTGACCATCCAATAATAAAGCTGGAGTCTCTCCTGACATTACTACCAATTGTTTTTCAGTATCTAGGCCACAGGTGGGCACCTGGTGGCCACTAAGCCCCTTTCTTTCTACCCCTCCAGTGACTAATATATATTTTTACACACATACATACACAGGGTGTACTAAAAGTCAGGCCATGTTGATAATGTATTGTATAAATTACATTAAATGTAATGTATGTTTTCTTCTAAGCACTTCCTTACTTGTTTGACCCATGACCTTTGAACATCCCTAAGTACAGGAATATTCTCTCTTTAAAAAATCAAGTAATAAAACATATTGTGATTGGCCTATGGGGCCTGACTTCTGGTATACCCTGTTTATATTATCAGTAGGTTCTAGTTGTTTTTCACATAAAGCCTGAAACAGGTTTCGTGCAAAGAAACACTGGAACTTTAAGAAGAAATGGAGGATATCCCAGGCAGAGATGTGACACCACCCACTGACATCATTTTCCTCAGCAGAATGGCTCCTTGCCCCCCTGCCCAAATATTAGATGTTGTTCCTGGCCAAGCAAAGATTACCCACCTTTGTTCTGGGAAAATCTCTCAATAGCATTATTTTTTTGTGGTTTGTTAGCTAGCCATTTCTCCATGCCCCTAGCTTTTTGAGGACAGGATCTGCTTAGGACCCAGCATTGAAGGTCAGCACCACAAAATTCATACCAGTTAGTTTGCAGAAAAGCAGAGAGGTTAGTAATGAGGTCTGCTTTGCAAAAAATTAGTGGGTTAAAATCTTGGTTTCCCAGAGGGGCTGACTCTAGCTGCCCATCCCAACCATCAAGGCCGAGAGGAGCTGGGGTTGCAAATTGCTATAGGTTAGGCTATAGCGAGATTGAGTGATATATGGTTCAGTAAACTGTGGAAACCCCGCCATTTATTAATTAAACCCTAATACCGTGATCCAGACACAGCAGTTGGATTTTGTTGACCTGGGTTGAGGGTTTAAGCTTGTCGTGTGCAATTAGTCACAATGTTACAGGAGAAATTCATAGATCTCCAGGTAACCCAAGATTATGGGAGCTGAAGTCCAATACTTTCCAGTGAATGGCTGGGGAAAACTGACTTAAATAAATAAGTCCCTCTCTTCATCCATTTCCTTGTTATTTTGCTATGATGACCTATTTAGGAGAAAGGAGACCTACCTGCTTTGCTTATCCCTGGCATTAGCCACCCCAAATCCTCATCAACTCATTATCCTTCAGCAAAACTGTAACCTCCTTAACTTTAACCAAGCAAAGAAAAGGGCCTGGACGGAAGATCTCCAGAGTGGGGGAGGGCAGCTCATTCAACGCCTCTGAGCTAAGAACCTTGAGGGGAAACTTTCCTTTGGCTCCCTCACAGTAGCAAATGGGTGGGAAGACAAGAGGAGAGGAGAATAGCCTCAGAGCAACTAAAAGCCTCTGCAGAAGTATTTTAGCAAGTGTAGCAAATGTTAATGTTGACCGAAAGCAGGTGCCTACTCTGTTTTATTAGCCCACCATGACTTTTAATGGGCTGCCCAGCATGTAGTTTCTTATCATCTGGGCCAAGTCAGCTTTGGCCATCAGACAGTTAAGGAAAATGCCCCTGCATGAGCACATTCAGAATGCTTTTTTAAAAAAAATAGATATAAATTGGTTATCATGTCAACTTTCTGGACAGGCTTGATCACCAAAACTCTTTTTAAGTCAACCCAAGCACTTAAGAGTTATAACTTCCTCCTCCCACTTCCAGCAACTTTCATTCTCTGTTTTCTGCAAGACCCTGCTCCTCCCTCCAGCCATCATCCAGTGGGCTTGGATCCCCTTTTCGCCAAGCCAAGGTAACTCAGGAGGAGATGGATCAAAGAGGGAAGTTCTGCTGCTGGATAGAGAGAAAGGAAGCAAGCAACGATTTCTTACTTCAGGGCTCCCATCAATGTGTCCAGGGCTGTAGAAATTGCCCGTATCAGGAGAAAGGCCTAAAAGTCAGGATTTGACAATGAGGAAGGGGGAGGATGCAAGACAACAGGTTAAAAATCACAGGCGTGCACGCACACACATCCACACATCCTTTATACAGGAAATGGCCTCGCCATGTAGGAGAACAATAGATGGCTGGAAAGCTCAAGGGAGGGGCAATAGGATGCTTACCTGGGTGTCACCATGGTAACCTCGTTGCTAGGGTGCAAGATGCAACAGGTGGTGATGGTGAAAGTAGGCGGGGTCTGGGGCAGATTGTTAACGGAGTGAAAAACTAAATGGGACAGGAAAACAAAGGGTTAATGAGTGAGCAGAATGGAGGGGAGTCATGGAGGCGGACAAACATCAAGGGGAACAGTGGAGGGAAAAGCTTCTGTGAACAGCAACAGGAAATTAAACTTCACCCAATTTGTTTGCAATGATTTACAGTAAACTGTCTCCTGCTAGAGGAGGTGTGGGGAACCTGTGGTCCCCCCAGATTTTGGTGAATGACAACTCCCAGCATCCCTCACCGTGGATAAGACTGGCTGAAGCTGCTGGGAACCACTGTGTTATGCAAAACTAGAGCAGTGTTTCTCAACCTCAGCAACTTTAAGATGTGTGGACTTCAACTCCCAGAATTTTACAGCCAGTCCACACATCTTAAAGTTGCTGAGGTTGAGAAACACTGAACTAGAAGATTACAGGTTCTCCAGTAGAAAGTTACTCCTGGATAGGAAGCCTCCTCCCAGACACATTGTCTCATGACCCCATCTATTCACAGCTACAGGAACACTACCAACACACACATGGTATCTACGAGCAATGCTGAGTTTGGACGTCACCAACAGGCACATATTGTAGTCTTCCAACTAACTATCACAACTGGCAATAAACCAGGATTGCTCCCCTGCAGGAAAGATGGGGTGATGCTCGCCAACTTTCAAATCAGGATTTGCTACCGCAGGCTGAGACAAGCTGTGTACTCCATTGTAAGTGGCCCAGCCCAACCCACTCACCGCTTGGCCTTTCTTTGGCTTTAGCAGGTGTTGAGGTAGCAGGGGAAGGGAACATGCTGGCATCCATGTCATCTTCTTCCAAGTCATTCAAATTGTAGACCTCCTCCACATCAGTGTCAAGTTGCCGGAAATCTTTGGTAAGCACACCAGGTCGCGGTTCCAGGATTCCTGCCAGGTGAGGCCGGGCCAGCTGCTGCCAATGGTGCAGGGTCACGGAGCCTAAGAGAAGGCACAGAGGTCTCCTTGAATTTGCTGGAGCCAGGGGCAAAACCCAGCAAAAATCATTTGCAGCAGGCCTAAACAGAAGCCGGGGGAATTGCAAGCCGAAGTTACAGTGAGAAATAGAAATTCCCAGACTACGCGGACGACGCAAGAAAGGCAGGAGGCAGTCCTGAAAGTTTTAAGCCCCATGCTGGACACCCAGTCCAATCTTACACCTGCAAAGAACAGCATGCCCTAATCCCTTCTGACATGGCCAGTCCGATTGCTAGCCTGCCTTCAACGAGGATAGAAATGGGAGTCGAACAAATTCAACTACCAGTCTAACTGGCTTTTACAGATGGGAGCAAAATGTCCTCTGGTTCTTTCCTTCATGCAGCAAAATGTTTAGGGTTAGCCCTGTGGCACCATCCCAAACAAGGAGGAAAAATGACTGCATTGGAGCCTCTCACAGACACACACAGGAAGAAAAGTGGCCAAGGATGGGTTCTGGGTTTAAGCAGGGAGAAACTCATATGCTGCAGCTTTAGCCCGTGATCCTAGTATTCAGACATGAGAGGAGAAACTCTATACACATGCCTGCCTCACTTAGGGAAAGGGCCCTAAACCCATTTTTCTGTCCCCCAGATACTCTCTAACAACAATTCCCAAAAATCAGCCACACAATTTTCTGCCATTTTGAGAGAGGGAATACACAAACTGCAACATAAGCCTTACAAGGAATTTAACACAGCTTAAAATAAACCAGAAACAACCCCTCCCCCCAAAAACCTGCTGTACGTGTGTGTGTAAGAGAGTGAGCACTGCTCATTTAGCCTTTCTTTTCCAAAAATATTAAGCGTGATTCTAATTGTCAAAAGCTAGCCCGCTCCTGGCTTCAGAGCACTGGCTCCTCCCTGACACCTGCAGCTGAACATCTCCCAGACAGCAGCTGATTGAAGGATTCTCTCAGCCTGAGACCTGGAGAATAGCTGCCAGCCAGTACAAACAGCCAGACCAGGTCTGAGGCAAGAAACCTGCACAACTTCCCTCTACAGGTAGTCCTCACTTAACTACAGTAATTGTGACTGGAATTTCCATCATTAAGTGATGCAGTCGTAAACCATGACGTCACACGACCGCACCGCTTAGCAACGGATGGAAATTCCAGCACTTCTGGTTGCCATCTTTAAGCAAATCACTGCAGATCATTAAGCAAGGATGTCACGTGGTTGCCATTTGCAACCTCCTGCCAGCTTCCCCATTGACTTTGCTTGTAGAAAGCCAGCAAAAAAGGTCACAAATGACAATCACGTGACCACAGGACACTGCAACATCATAATCGC